GATGAAAACCGAAAGATAAACAAGCACAAGTTTATTCAAATCGAAATCACACCCAAAACAAAAACATCAAAATGTAAGCAAAAGGAAATCGCCAACCATTGGAATATGCATGGGATACCTACTACGTTACGCGTCTTTATATATGCATGGATGATCTAGAACATTGGCATTTCACCTATAATTGTAGCAATTGGACTCCTGACGGAGACCTTTGCGGAAGTCCAAGTAATAGATCCCTGAGACGCTGTATTATTAGCTGCAGTTGGCAATTGACTGAATACGACCTCATATGTCACCTTCTGTTTCACCTCGGAGAAACGCAGAGTCTTGGGTTTGACTATAACCTCGACACCTTCAGGGGGAACAACCTTAACCGTGTAAACTGATTTGGCCTCTCCAACATTAGTAACCGTCCTTGTGTAACGTTGAATAGGTGATCCAAATTGGATAGAGAATGAAGGGTAGTTCAATTGTGCTTCAGGGATGCTTGATTCTTCGGCGCAATTCACCCTACGTTGTAAAATGTAAAGAAGCCCCCTTCTGGTGTAATTCAAACCACACAAATAAGGCACGTAATCTTTTGGCACAATGTCGTAGATTAGACCTGGATTGTTTGCTCTTGATGGATTCACGTGGCCTGAACCTATCGCAAAAATGTTTGCAGGAAGAAGCCTTTCATCCTCGATTGGATTCTTGGCAAGGTTCACAAGATCAGCTGTGGTCATGATGGCGGACTTAATTGCAGCTGGAGACCAATCAGGGTGCGCGCTTTTGAGCAGGGCAGCTACACCACTGAGGTGAGGGCAAGACATTGAGGTGCCGGAGAGTATGTTGAATGTGGACTTGGTGTTTGTGTTGTTTTCAACGGATTGAGGCCAAGCAGCGAGAATGTTTACACCAGGGCCAATTATATCCGGCTTCAAAATTCCAGGGCTTGCCATGCTAGGACCTCTGGAAGAAAATGAAGCAACCACTGGAGCATGATCGTCTCCAATAATAGTTCCTTTGAATGAAATCGCAGCCATTGGTAATTCTGTTGAGTTGATGTAGCTCAGGACCTTAACTCCATCAGCATAACTTAAATGTGTTGCCGGGAGGACATGAGCATCGGCAAAAGTGGTGTAACCCTCGTTCTGTCCATTTATGATAATCATGCCAACGCCACCGGCAGCCTTGACATGTTCTCCTTTTTGAGCACCTGATATGCCACCACCATGATCACAGACCACAATTTTCCCCTGGACCTTAGAGCTATTCAGAGCTGATGAGAAGCAATATGCAGATAAAATATCGCTTGCATTCCAGCCAGCATAGTACAAGGGAAACGGAGTTGAAAGAAAATGCTTAGGATTATAAAGAGATTCGCCATCAAACTCCTCCTTGTTCCCGAGCAAAGCAGTAGCTACTATTTTTCTGTCGATGGTGCTTGCACCAACCGTAAGTATCCAGGGGGCTTCATTTTCTAAAGACTGATTGGAAGGACCACCATTTCCGGCTGAGCAGCTGACCAAAATGCCCTTTTCCATTGCAGTATAAGCACCAAGTGCGACGCTGTCTGTATAAAATGGTTTCGAACTTCCTCCAATAGACAGGGAAAGAATATCCACCCCATCATCGATAGCCGCATCCATAGCAGCCAATATGGCACTTTCAGGGCAAATATCTATGCATATAACACCTTGGCAAACAATTATGCATACTTTGTACATTGCCAAGTGAGCTAGAGGTGCGATACCGGCAGCAGTTCCATTAGCATTTCTCAACACATTAGCGCCTTGGACAAAGTTTCCTGCAGCTGTGCTTGCTGTGTGAGTACCGTGGCCAACCTCATCTAAAACGGAATCGCTAAATTCTTGGTTGAAATTCCTTGCTCCAATTAATTTGTTATTGCAAGCTGAGGAATTAAATTCACACTTTCCCTTCCATTTAGCAGGTGGTGGAGGCATTCCTTCATCACTAAATGAAGGGTGATCTGGCCTTATTCCGGTGTCCATGACTCCAATAATCACACCGTTTCCATAATTTGAATCCTTCCAGAAGCCCATATCCGGATGCAACCCCAGGAAACTAGGAGTGTGGGTCGTATGTAGAGATAGCATCTCCTGGGGACTAGCTGATAAGAATCCAGGCTTCTTTTCCATTTCTTTCACATCTTCAGCTGATAATTTAGCTGCAAATCCTTTGAAAACATTGTGATAGGAATAAAGCATCCGTGGTGCTTCATTTGATGAGCTTGAGATAGTGGTTGTCGGCAGGAAAGATTTGTACCAATTTTCTAAATCATCATTATTTGGGCTTGCACTTGCACTGGAAAGCGGAGTATCTGTAGGCAACTCAACATGCACGATGTAAGTCTGTACGGTGCTTTCCTGATCATGCAATCCTTTAGCAGCTATCGAAAGAAAACTGATTACAAAAAGCAGAATGAGAATCTGCATGAATCCCATGTTTGACGATGGTTTAGAAAGTGAACAGTAAGTTCGCTCGATTGAATGAGCAATTACTACTGTTATGCAAGAGGAAGAATGTACCGAGTTAAATAGGGGTTAGAGGTGATTAACTTGGTTGCGGAGCTTGAGTTAAAAGGTGGAGTATATATAGGCATGATAGCGGTATCCATCTCAAAATTTTCAATTGCTAAATTTTGCGGTCTCATTCATTTATCTTGAGAAAGTTATTTAAAGACCCTGTGATTTTGAAGAATCAGTTCTTCGTCCTTAACAAAGTCATCTTTTTTCGGTCAGATAATACAAGCATAAATTACATTTTGCAGCCACATTCAAGCGCCAAACTTCCAGTAATAATCTATTGATTAATGAAACGACTAAGACCCTGAGCAACAGGAATGGAATTTTCCAACTAATGCTGTTAATAATCTTTCGGGAGTTATATATTCTACGTTTTGCCTTGAACAACAGTAATTGCATAATTGGCAAACGACTCTTTGGCCAGATGTCATGAGTTCCTTTGACTGAAAATTTTGGCCATGTCTCATTCTCCATTAGTTTGAGGCAGTATTCGGCAGGGTCGGGTTCTTAATTATTAATATTTACAGGCAATGGATGGTCTGTTTAGTTTTCATTGGTAAAATGGGAAGTGATCCACACATATGACCTCCAGTAAAGAATCTGTCAAAAGGAGTGTTCCAAAGCCAACTCCAACATGAGGTTGATCACAATTAATAAAATGATGGTAGGATGATTCTTGATCAATTTGTATAATTATTGTTCAGCCTACGTAAACCTTGCTCTCCTTGGAGCAATTGAAGAGATGAGGACGTAATTATAACCCAAAGTTCCTTGTTCATGTGTACTTTTCCTCAAAAGGATATTTTCTTTTACAAAAAAGAAAATAACTTCTTGAAATTGAGATGAGATCAAAAAAGTAAAATCTTAACTTAGATCACAATTTCTATCCCCTCCTAATTTCTTAAATCCAACCTCTCCCCTGCTATTAAAATAACGGCAATTCACAACTCCTAGGCACAATCTGAGTGGTATCCTACATAGTTAACTGATAAATGCCTCCCCTACACATAAATTTCTAAGTTTGAATATCAATATGTTAAGCCAGTAAAATTCAACGTCGTTGCAAAGGAAAATTGCGCATCAAAAGACTCTTTCAAATTTACTCTTCTCTTAAAAAAAAGGAAAAAAAAAAAAAAGACTTAACGTTTCATTAAAAGAAGTACTTTTAAAAGACTCTCCAGATTGCAGTTTACTTCAAATACTTAAGACTGATGGTTCCTTTTAGCCCTTTCTATTCTAATTTATTTTGCAGGGTTGAAACATGACCGCTTCTATTTTTGAAAGTTTTGATTTAAGAATTCTTGCTTCTGCTGCATCTTAATTTGTTCCTTCTAGTTGATCCATTAGACTCGATGTTCACTCTGAAACAAAATTGGAGAGCTATGAATGCAAGACTCGAACCATTGGAGGGCTTCGTTGAATCGTGTCTTCCTTCATGAATATTCAATGGAGCGATTGTACGCTTTCCTTTCATCGATGGACTAGGGAAACTATTGATCCTTGACAGAACATCCCGCATTGGCGGCATGAGAAAATACTACATTGTGGTTTAACAGTTCTCCATACCGGTTGTTTTCAGATGTCAAGAAAACTACCCTTCCCCAGTTGAAAATTTTTATCATTGAGGCGAGATCAAAAAGTAATATCTTAACTTAGATTACAATTCCAATTCCCACTCAGTTTTTTGAATTCAACCCTTCCCCTGCTGAAACTTTGTATGTGCAAGGATTTCCCAATTCCATACCCATTGTTTTAGCAGGATTAAATCAATGAGCATTAGAGGTAAAGTGCAATGATACCTGTGACAGTAACTGTATAACAAGAAACCTAAAACCAATATATGATAAAGCTGCGCTTGCTTCTTTGAATTCGGATATTACCTAAAAATGGATTGTGTTCGAAACATCACACACAGTTCCAATCTAAAGATCCAAATAGGTTAGAAAGAAAATGGGGTGGAATTGGATGGACCTAAATTGGCCAAGAAGTGCAGGTACTGGGTCAAGTTTTCAGGTGGGAGAACAATTCCACTCAAGATATTATACAGGTCATCTTTTTTATCAAATTGCATGGATATTTAACCAATGGAACTAAAAGCGTACTCTTAATTAAATGTAAAAGTGCTCTTTTGAGTATTGACTTTTCATCAATAATCCTTTTTTTATTTGACGAAATCCTTTTACAACACTAGCAAGGCCTAGTCTGTTAAGTTTAAGGGAAAAAATAAAACAGAAGTCGCTTTAATGAGGAGGAAAAAGGAATATAGAACAAAATCCATAATGAGGAATGTCGTGCAATTTTTCCTGGGAAAGGAAAAGGAAAAATCAGCCACAAAACTTGAAAAAAGGAATATCAACTGACAAATACAAATACTGCAAGGAAATAATTAAGATTAAAATGCTAATTAACTCGAGGACGTGAGTGTTTCGATTTTTATTGGAAATTAAGAAAGGCACGGGGAGACCAAAGCAGTAATGGAAGCTTGATGGTTTTATTTGAAGCAGTACATGGCTACACTAATACTACTATTACATTAGTCCAAGCAATTGGTAGTACAACTGAACAGGTGGTGGAGAAAGAAACTGGATACATATATATTTCTGACTGTTCCAACATGCATTAACAATTTAACATGGTGGTGGTGGTGGTGGCGGTGCTTGTGGCGGCAGTGGTGGTCGAGGTGGTGGACTCTTGAAAAAATGAGGAGAGTTATTGATCACCGGAGGTTGTGGCGAAAGCCCAGGTCTCCTGGTTCGCAGTGCTGCCCTGAAATCATAGGGAGACAGAGGATCATCGGAAAAAGAAGTAGAAGCTGGTGCATGAAACCCTGAGAAGGATTCTTCTAAAACTCTTGCTGCTGCCAAGGCGACGTAGGCTTTGTTCACGCATCCCTGTTGAATCCACAAGATTTCATGGATCAAAAGCAAGCTAAGCAGAAAATGATAAACTTTCTTCATGGATGGAGAAAACAAACTTTTGAGTATTGAATTGGAAAGGCCAGTAAATAATCACCGGGAAAAGGACATCGATCGTAGTTCTATGAGTTTGAGAAGAAGAAAGTGTTGCCTCATATAATATGTCGGTTGGTTCCCAAACCAGTAAGCGGTTAGATTGATAAATATTCTAATTCGTCTAACATAGTAGGTGGGAAGCAGCTAGGAACCTCTGACGCATTCAACATAAGTAAGTAGAGATGATGGTAATTTTACGCATTCAACATATTCCGGTGATGACCATGGTTCAAAGTCGCAGTCTCGGTTGCTGTCGCTGCTCGAATCGTTGCACATCAGTCTCGGCATATGGGTCGCAATTTCGGGTAAACGTGAGTGTTTGAAATATTTAATATTCTAAAAATTGTAAAAAAATATGATAAACAAAAATAATTAAAAAATTAGTAAAAATAATAAAAATTCGAATTGACTCGAGATGATTCGGAGTGATTCGATGTGATTTGACCGTTTCAACCCTTCACGGTGATGTCTCGGTGAGTCAAGTATCTCGAAATCGTATCGTTCCGATATCGTATCGGGAAAACCTGAGACCGTGACGACTCACGGACTCGTCTGAGTCTTTGAATATTGCCCTTGCAATTGGAGAAGAAGCACCGCCTATGTATCCATTATCTAACCCTGCCAGTTCGGTTCGTATATATATGATCATCAGACATACTAGTGTCAGATGCACCAGTGCTGTCTTCATCTTGAACTGAAGCTCGTCAACCAAGCTTTTGCCTATTGGCCGTTGATATTTGGTTGGTTAAAGTCGCGAAGAAGGCTCCAGGAAGGCCAAAAATCGCTAATGTTTTTCAAAGATGTGTACCAGCGTCAATATCCAATTAATGAGACCATACTTCTATTGGTGCAGCATTAAATTTGCATGCTATACGTGTTTTCGACGATACGCTGGGATAGTTAAACACCTTAATGGTCCAAACTTCAACCCAAAATGTTGTTTAATTCAATTCACATTATGCATGTTGCTGAAAATTTTGTAAATTACATCCGACCTTTTTGTCATTCTGGAAACAGCATAAAAATTTTTGTAAGTTCCATTTATTGTGATATTGTCATGAGCAATCTGAAGTTTAGCCAGTCCAGCTGTTAAAAACATAGTAGTACATGGAAGAGATGAACTCTGTGCTTGCCTTTGTGCTATTGCTCTCCAACAATTGATTGGGAATGAAATGGGACGAAGTGCTAATTAGACATGATAATCACGCTCTGTAATCTTGAAAACTGTCTCCCAGTATCCTATGAAATTTTAGGGTACATGTTTCTTCCCATAGCGAGGAGCAATTTTCTTCAATAAAGTCTTCAATAACGCAAGCTATCTATTTCTGTTTTAAATTCTAACCATTCAAATTGACTTAATTTGGATTACAAGCAGCCACGAAAATGATAATGATATTCCAAAGCAAGAAGTGACCTCCCCGTCGTCTAGTTCTCACTCTTCTACCTACTCACCGAGCTTCGACCCAAAGGGAGAGGATGATGAATATTCCACAAATCACCTAACTAGGATGTTACTGTACTAGGTGAGTACGTTTGTGATAAACTTCATACATAGGTAACCACCTCAAATTGACCTGTGATTGTGAGAAAACCAAACGTGTAAAGAACAATTGAAGCCACCAGTGATAGGATGACAAATGCATGCATAAAAATGTTTAGCAGATATAAAAGGATGACTAGGATTACGGGGCTTTGGGGTTGGCGGCGGCGGCAGCAGCAGAGGATCTCTTATAGACACCGCAGCCACCGAAATACATCGGGGGAGCATTTCCAAGGCAGGGGAGTCCCTGCCCAAGTAGTAACCATCTAGCATACCCTGTTCATATATCAAAAAATAAAAAAGGAACGTGATCAAAGACACAAATGTGAGCTTCATTTTTAGATTGCTTGTTCAAACTTCTTGTTCAAACTTCTATTTAGATTGCCATGCGAAGTCAGCATTTTGCAATGGATGGTCTGTTTAGTTTTCATTGGTCAAATGGGAAGTGATCCACACATATGACCTCATTTAAAGCAGTGAAGAATCTGTCAAAAGGAGTGTTCTAACATGAGGTTGATCACAATTAATAAAATGATGGTAGGATGATTCTTGATCAATTTGTATAAAATGTGGAAATTATTCTTCAGCCTACATAAACCTTGCTCTCCTTGGAGCAATTGAAGAGATGAGGACGTAATTATAACCCAAAGTTCCTTGTTCATGTGTACTTTTCCTCAAAAGGATATTTTCTTTTACAAAAAAGAAGACAATAACTTCTTGAAATTGAGATGAGATCAAAAAAGTAAAATCTTAACTTAGATCACAATTTCTATCCCCTCCTAATTTCTTAAATCCAACCTCTCCCCTGCTATTAAAATAACGAAAATTCACAACTCCTAGGCACAATCTGAGTGGCATCCTACATAGTTAACTGATAAATGCCTCCCCTACACATAAATTTCTAAGTTTGAATATCAATATGTTAAGCCAGTAAAATTCAACGTCGTTGCAAAGGAAAATTGCGCATCAAAAGACTCTTTCAAATTTACTCTTCTCTTAAAAAAAAGGAAAAAAAAAAAAAGACTTAACGTTTCATTAAAAGAAGTACTTTTAAAAGACTCTCCAGATTGCAGTTTACTTCAAATACTTAAGATTGATGGTTCCTTTTAGCCCTTTCTATTCTAATTTATTTTGCAGGGTTGAAACATGACCGCTTCTATTTTTGAAAGTTTTGATTTAAGAATTCTTGCTTCTGCTGCATCTTAATTTGTTCCTTCTAGTTGATCCATTAGACTCGATGTTCACTCTGAAACAAAATTGGAGAGCTATGAATGCAAGACTAAAAACCAATATTGGAGGGCTTCGTTGAATCGTGTCTTCCTTCATGAATATTCAATGGAGCGATTGTACGCTTTCCTTCCATCGATGGACTAGGGAAACTATTGACACTTGACAGAGCATCCCGCATTGGCTGTATGAGAAAATACATTGTGGTTTAACAGTTAAGACTTGAGACTTGAGCGTCACCGGCAATGGGTTGGCTATAGCATCTGGCATGCTAGTTAAGGCACTTTCATCTATGATTCTCCCCACCCCTTCTTTTATCAGATGACAATTAATGTATATTAAGAATCGTTGCACAAGTAAAAAGTTTTAGCAGGTGCAGGACTAAATTAGTGAGCATAAGAGGTAAAGTGCAAGGATATATACCTACCTGTAACAGTAAACGCTTGCTTCTTTGAATTCAAATATTATCTAAAATTGAATTGTATGCTAAAAATCACGTATAGTTCCAATCTAAAGATCCACATAGGTTAGAAAGTAAGAAAATGTGGGAAGGGGGGTGGAATCAGATGGACCCGCCCAACCCAAGGTAGCTCGAGTGGTTTCGTTGCTTCTCTTTAGGATATGGCGACCACGATTCGAGTCCCGGAAGTAACGCGTTCGAAGGGAATGGGCCTCTCCTCTCGGATCGCGGGGACTAGTCGGCCAAAGGCCCGAATACCCCTGTGTCAGAAAAAAAGAAAAAAAAAGAATCAGATGGACCCAAATTGTTTCCAGGTGGGAGGAAGATCCACTCAAGATATTTCGCAGGTCATCTTTTTATCAATTTGCATAGATATATAACCAATGGAACTAAATTATAGTTATTGCCGGCTTTTATGGGTGGTATAGCATCTAATTGTCAATATCCTTTTTTTTTTTTTGGCTCCCATTAATTCTTTGGTCGACGAGGTATTGGGTTTGTTCATGCCGAGTTATTACTACATTTTCAAGTTACAAAATCTTTTAATTTCATTTTCCGGTGTTCTAGTGGACACTGGCATGTGTTAAAGTTTTAGATGTGCTCATTTGATCAAATAGGGTATCAAAATGGAAATTGAATACTGTGGAGATGGTACATCACTTTGCATCCCCTCGGTCCACCCACACCATGAACGAAAAAAAGACCCAATGTCCCCATATCAGCCCATTTGCGAGATTACTATCAAAATCTTAAATGTAATTAAATGTTAATGTATGCTTTTGAGTTTTTGACTTTTCATCAATAAGCCTTTTTTCAATTATTTGACGAAATCCCTTTAGAATACTAGTAACAAGGCCTAGTCCATTAGTCTAAGGGAAAAATAAAACAAAAATCACTTCAATGAGGAGGAAAAGGGAATAAAAAAATAAAATACATAAACAGGAATATGTCACGCAATTTTTCCTCAGAAATGAAAGGGCAGAATCCACCACAAAACTTGAAAAAAGGAATATCATACAATTAACTAATGTAAATACTGCAACGATACACAGATTGAAGTGATAATTATTAACACTAGGAGCCAGTGTTTCACTTTTTATTGGAAATTAAGAAAGACACGGGGAGATCAAAGCACTAATAAGAGCCCGATGATTTTGTTTGAAGCAATACATGGGTGCACTTCTGGATACATAAATATATATTTCTGACTGTTCCAAACATACATAAACAATTTAACATGGTGGCGGCGGTGCCGGTGCTAGTGGCGGCGACGGCGGTGGATGAGATGGAGGTGGTGGACTCTTGAAATGAATAGGGGTATTGATAACTGGAGATGGTGGAGAAAGCCTAGGTCTCCTAGTTCGCCCTCGCAGTGCTGCCCTGAAATCATAGTGAGACAGAGCATCGTGGGAAAAAGAAGGCGGTGCATCAAAAGCCAAAGCTGAGAAGGGTTCTTCTAAAACTCTCGCTGCTGCCAAGGCGACATAGGCTTTGTTCACACATCCCTGTTGAATCAGCAGGATTTCATGGATCAAAAGCAAGCTAAGCAAATAATGATGAACTTTTCTCATGGGTGGAGAAAACACACCCTTGAATATTGAAGCGAAAAAGCTACTAATGATCAGGAAAAGGATATCAATCCTAGTTCTGTGAGTCCGAAGAAGAAAGCGTTGCCTCGTATCATATGTCGGTTGGTTGCCAGACCAGTAAAGCGGTTAGCATTGATAAATACTATTCTAATTCGTCTGACATGGTAGGTGGGAAGCCGCTAGGAAACTCTGACGCATTCAACACATAATGCAAGTACTAAATAGAGATAATGACAAGGACTCCGCTTAGTTAACGACTTCTTACTTTCGTAAGAAAATGTTAGAAAGAAACTCTTTATGGGGCGTCTTCTGGGGTTGGTAAGGGTGCTCTTTAGTGTTCAATGCTGCCCTACTGGGCTTGCCCTTGTCGGGGTTTCTATCCCACATCGGTACTGGGGGGTAATGGGTTGGGTAGTTAAGTGCCTTGGACGTCTTCAAGAGTTGCCGGCTTTTGAAGATTGTTCAAGGACTCCGCTTAGTTAACGACTTCTTACTTTCGTAAGAAAATGTTAGAAAAAAAAAAGTAGAGATAATGGTAATGTTACAACTGCTCAGACTTTGACATGTAGAAGAAGACGACAAATGGTAATTAGGTAGTGAAACTGAAAGGTCGAGAATTTGATATGGCAGATGTGAAGGTTGAGATTTCAAGATAGATAGCTCAAAGCTCTGGCAACTAGCAAGGTGGTAGTACCGGTGGTGGGCAATTAGAAGATATGAAAGGATGAGTAGGATCACGGCTCTTGGGGGGTGGTGATGGAGCTCTACTAGGCATAGCCGAAACACCTACTTGAGGAGGTAATATTGCCCCGGCAATTGCAGAAGCAATGCCTGTGTATCCACTGTCTAAGCCTGCCACGTCGTACATGATCATGAGACATACTAGTATCAGCTGTCTTCATCTTGAACCTGTCCGAAAACAGCAAGTTGAACAATATTTCAAGAAGGAAAAGATCAAGGATTCACTTCATGATCAAGCTTGTCAACCAAGATTTTAGCTTATGATTTTTGGTTGGTTGGGAGTCTTGAAGAAGGCTGTAGGAAGGCCAAGAATCACTCTATTTTTTTTCCCCAGCGTCAACATCCAATTAACTAACCAATTAATGGGTTCATACTTCTACAGGTGCAACACTAAATTCGCATGCTGTACGTGTTCTGGACCATTTGCGGGGATGGTTAATACCTTAATGGTCCAAACTCCAAACAAAATATTGTTTAATTCATTTACATTTTGTGAAGTACAATTGTGAAGCCACCAATGATAGTATGACAAAGGCATTCATAAAAAAATGAATAATATTTTCACACACATAACTCTAAGTAACTAAGAAAAATGTGGTGGCGGCGGTGCCTGCGAGTGATGAGCAGGTATAAAAGGACGACTAGGATTACCGGGCTTTGGGGTTTGATGGCGGCGGAGGTGGATCTCTTATAGACACCGCGGCCACGGGGGAGCCCTGTAGCATAGCCAGTTCATAGATCAAAAGGAAGGAAAGTTATCGAAGACACAAGTGTGATCTTCATTTTTGAACCTGTTCTTCTAACTTCTAATTAGATAGCTATCCTGAGTCCTATAGCATTTTATACAGTGGAACTATTAGCAAACAAAAAAAAATTACAGTCTGCTGATTTAATGGTGGGTTGGTGGTGGTGGACAGGTGGTAAGATTAAGCTGTGTTTTAAAATTCGGCCTGACCAGTCAGTTCGATCGGTTGAATCGAAAATCGGTCAAGTATTCGGTCCGAATCATGCTTAAAAATCGGGTAAGTAAAAATTCGGTCAAAAATCGGGTTTGACTGGGTTTAACCGAAAAAAACCGGATTTTTCGGTTCAAACAACATTTAAAGAAAAACTCAAAATTTTTCAATATTATGTTTTGACTCCTAGATTGTTAAAAATTATTAATATACCTCAAATATTTCATACTTTATCAATATTTTCTTAAAGTTTGGTATTATTTTTCAATTAAATCCATAATTTTAATTCTAAACTTGTTAATGCTCATTAAATAATATAAATTGTTATTTGATTGTTCTAATTTCTTTGTATTTTCTTGTTAAATATATTTAAACAATCAAATATATATGAATATACATTTATTAATATTTACATGTTATTAGGTATTTTACATATAATATTTTAATTTTTAAATAATTTTATTTATGACGTCATCCGGTTCAACCCCTATCGAATCCGATTGAATCCACTGACCTCTGACCCCTGAATTTGACCGAGGCGATATCCGGTCTGGTTCTGAAAACATAGAGATTAAGAGCCTTTACCTCGACGTCAAATTCAGCTACGCCAATTTTGATAGGAACAGATGTGGCACTAAGGTCAACATCGGATTGGACCTCCAGCCAATCCATATGCATATGAATCTCAAATCTATTCTCGTTTCAAGTCTCAACAATGTGACACGTAAAAGGCTAAAGAATGTTCACAGTATGTGAGCTTAGTTTTTTTTTTTTCACTCAAGGCATCTCCGCCTTTTTATCAGACTAATTTTTTAAAATTGTGTAAAATCTTATGCCAGAGATATATAATGAAGCTGTATATAAAAATTAATCACGAGACCTGCTTATAACTATCAGACTATGAAACCAGTCAGACTAACAGTAGAGAGTGCACGAGAACTTAGTTAATTCTCTATTTTTAACTTTTCATGTAAAATTGAAGAACTAAATCTCACGTACTCTCTCGTGGGATCGGATCAGTTTCTCACATTTCATCAAAATTACGGAATAATAAAGAAAGTGGGTGCTGCCTTGTTTGGATTGCCGGTTTCCGTCGAAAAATTACGTCGTTTTCCGTGATCACATTTTCCTATTACCTTTTTCCCTCACATACATCAAATCGCTACAGTAATTTTTCCATAAAAAATCACGGAAAATGCAATCCAAACACAATTATATATATGATCAATATGAAAGTGAACCTAATGTACCATTTTTCCATTAAAGTACCATTTTTCTTTGGGTGTCTGAAAAGGGTAAAATGGCCTTCCACCCCTCCTAAGATAAAATCTCCCTCCACCTATGTAAAAGTCAAGGTTAAAAGCAAAATTTTACTCCTACTACTGATTAATATCCCAGCATGAATTGGCTGGAAATAGAAAGATCTTATGAAAGTGAACCTAATGGTGGTAAATCACGGTTGACTAACGGCGGTCGATGAGTGGACACAACTTACAGGCGACAACAGATTTGAATATTTATGAATTTGAAAATCCTTCCCAGAATAAAAGGAAAATTCACGACAATGGAAATACTAGAAGATGACAAAGAATCTGAATAGGTAGTCTAAAATTTAAAATCTCTGATAGTAGTAGTACATCTTTTCAAAGTTCAAACACGCATGTACATTTCTTACCAGACACAATTATACAAGCATCCCACACATTATTCATCATCCCGTAGCTGGACAGCCTGGACCTGGAGGTGGTGGCGGTGGTGCAAATGATGGTGGTGGTGGTTCTAGAGGTGGATATGGCATGGAACGGCGAAAATGAGTAGGGTGATTGATATTTGGAGGTGGGGGCCGGGTCCGGGGCCTGTGAAGCCCTCTCATTATCCTCTTTGGCACTGCCTGCAATTCGTAGGACAGATGGGCACGATGGGAAGAAGCTGCTGCACCCGTAGGAGAAGTCAAAGCTGATAAGGCTTGGTGTCTTGTTGCCATGGCAAAAGAGGCCTTATGCCCAAGTTGTTGAAGCAACATCAGACAAGGGATCAACAGCAAAACAAGCAAGGACGAATAAATTGCTTTCATAGCTCGAACCTTTTGGATACAAGTTTTCCGTCTCATTTGCAATGCGAGCTTGCGGTTCAGAGCCAGACAGGGTTCACCATTTTAGCTAGGAGAAAAGATTGGGAATTCGGAACCGCATTGGACTGGTCGCCCTGTGGATAAATGCATGCTCGAGTGCAGATGGTCAGGGGACAAAAAAGAAACTACTATTCTGTATGTAGCAGTAAATGCCTAAATGATGGAGGTTGGACTGAATTTACGAGATCTAGTACTCATCTGCATTCATTTTCTCTTTCACGAGTAGAGCAATTGTTACCATTTGACGCTTGATCTCAACCCTCCCTTCCAATTTTAATCAAGTTTATATGCAAGAAATTTAGTGCTGCATCCGCAAGCCAAGTAGAAGGACGTGATGTCAATTAGTTACTACTACTATTTGACACTGTGTCAAGTTATTCGTGATCAATAAATGATATGGCGCCCACATGCATGCATTCGAATTCTTTTTGGTAAGAGAAGAGTGGTATTTAAGAACAGGGACGGAAAATTTGGTAGAGCCTGCGTACATGAAAGCTGAGATGAGAGCTACGCGGGGCAAGTGGATTATTAATAAATATTTGAACAACTACTCCGGGCAAGTGGAGCTAACCAACAATCGTCAACTGGTGTGTCGTGTTACTGTGTTACTCTATCGCATAAATTTGCACGTATATATATATATGTCCTTTGTATGTTATACTAACTGCCATTACCATTCCGCTTATTTTTGTTTAGCTAGTCAGAAATGATGTAACAGCACACAGATCCTGATTCTTGGCCCAAATTTTTTCTATGAGGAATAACATGTGGACATTGATGAGGGAAAGTCCAAAATCCACAGAAACGGAAAGAGCAATAACACAAATTAGAAGCTCATTAAAATATATATATATATAAAACGAGAGGATCATTTAATACAAGGTGATTAAATTTGGATTCCAGCTAAGACATGGACACAAACATGATCTGATGAATTTGCCAAGCGGGCCAAACGTTATGGTATGACGAATTCACGACGGTGGTGGTGGGCCTGGCGCTGCAGCTGGTTGCAATGACGGTGTTGGCGGTGGTGGAGAAAGACTGCTTGGTGCGACGCCCCAGTGAGAAGGGACATTGAGCTTTGGAGGTGGCGGTCTGGGAAGAACTCTCAATATCCTAACTGGTTCTTCCTGATCCACCTTTAATCCGCCATGAGACAGACGGCCATACGAAGCATAAGCCAAGGGAGAGAAGGGCGCTCGTCTTGCTTCCATGCCATTAGCTACATACCGGAGTTGAAGCAGCAACAGTATTTCTTGAATCAACAAGAAACTGATCAAGTGGCAATAAACTGCTTTCATCGCAGGCAGAAACTTTTCCAATGCGGACGGTAGTTTTTCCTCCACTAGTTACCAGCCACGGCTGCTGGCTGTTGGAGAAGAAGGAAAGAATATACCGTATGTTTTCAAGCTTTTTTTTGGCACACTACAACTGGTTTACTCAGAGTCGACGTCAAAGTCAGAGTCTCTCTCTCTCTCTCTCTCTTATTTTTCAACCAAATAGAAAATGCGTAAGCTCACGCTTGGGCTAACTCAACTGTGGTTCCGTTCCTTCTAAAAGTATAGTACTACAGCAGCACAAGAGTCAAAGTTTTTAAACTAAACAGTAGAACCAAAACACATTTGCAGTTATACCATCTTACCTAGAACGGAATAGGTTGGTATTAATCTGACTCAATCATGATCGAATTTAATTGAAAAACTGTTAGGTGTCTAATTATTATGGATCTCCATTGGATGAAGGCCAGATTGAGGGAACGTGTTGTGTGATTTCATTGGATAACACGTTAAAATTTATTAGAATTTTTATACTTTTTTGTACACCCGAGTTTAATATTTACTTAGTACCCATTGCAACATGGACTCACGCGTTTCCAGAAATCTGCCAATCCATGCTAAACACAATTTGACGCAAAAAGCATATAAATCTTTGACGGTAGATGTCAATTATTTTCTTTGTGATAAACAAGTTGAAGAGAGACTCTAAGCTTTATATAAAACAAATCATTTTTGTCCAGGGATACTTTACTCTAAGACTTACACGGAATATCGAGAAAGGAAAGATTTTGATGGTAAATCAAGACCTCATGATGATGATGATGATGATTAAGTTAATATATTTATCATGATTATTGATTAATATTAACTTTTTAATTCATGAGAGATTTCAGAACAAGAACAATAGAGCGATGAGCGATATCAAATTTCAGGATCATTTAGTTAGGGTGCGTTTGATTAAATTGAAATCTGAAGTCTGAATCCATTAAGTTATTGAATTATTAAGTATTAAATCAAATACATTTGAGTGTATATCACATTCAGTGATAAGCTTATTTTTTATAGCAACTTTTGACTAAAAAGTTCAGTGTCATTTAATTAATTTAGATGTTCAATTTTTAATTATCAAACACGTTTGAACATATTAAGATCTGAGTTCATTAAATTTAAATGTTGAATTGGATTATACATTTGAGTGTATACCACATTCAATGATAAGTGAATAACTTATCACTTATTTTTTAAGCAACTTTTGACTAGAAAATTCAGTGTCATTTAATTATTTTTAATTTTTAATTTTTAATTATCAAACACATTTGAACATATTAAGATTTTTATTCATTAAATTTAAATGCTGAATTGGATTTTAAATGTACGGGACTTTGGAGACATAATTGGAATGAACCATTTGATTTAGGATTTCGCAAGTGTCCTACGGACTCCCAACCCACAACACAAGATCGAAAGTTATACAGCAGCCCAGTGCACCTTAGCCTATGGGCCTCTTCGGTTATAGCCCATTGATAAACCGGAACGACTCATCAGATATTTGTTCCTTCCAGAATTCGCTCTTCCTTTCTAGATTCCTGTCGCCCAACCGTTTCCGAGGAAACTTTCTAAACTCTGAGCATTGAAAATCTACTTCAAAAAGCAAAGAATATGTATTTCGAAAATTTCACCAAAACGACAGATCCTACCAACACAAAACGACAACCCAGAAACATCCTCTCTTTCACTGGAGTCCAACGCGACCCACAAATCAGTTAAATCACCTTAATTGGTTTCCCTCACTCCTCCGTAATCCAATATTCGCAAACAGACCTCAAAACCCATCATCAACAACCCACTTTCCAGATTCTTTCTTCACTCCCCCACCACTAAAATAAGAACAGCTTTCATGTAAATATAGAGAAAATTGAAAGAGAGAACAAAGAAGGTTGAGAATTTGTTGAAAGAAAAAATGGATGAAAAGCTATTAGATGATATAATAAGGAGGCTGCTGGAAGTCAGAGGAAGGCCAGGGAAGCAGGTGCAGCTCTCTGAGGCCGAGATCAAACAGTTGTGTCTGGTTTCCAAAGATATTTTCTTGCAACAGCCTAATCTTTTAGAGCTTGAAGCACCCATTAAGATTTGTGGTATCAATTCCTTTTTTCCCTCTTTCACTTTCTCTGGTTTGGTTATCCTCTTTTATGGACCCTTTCGATTATTTTGATTGCATCCCACTTTGTATTTGACTTGCTTCTTTGTCTTTCATTTGCATTTTTTCATGTCTGTTGGGTTGACTTTCTGGGCCATGAATAAGGTGTTTGTTATAAAATCCTTCAAAGGTATCCCGAATTCTATCTTCTGGTTGAAGAATTTAGGTTAGGGTTGTTCAGTTTTTTTTTTTTTTTGGTGGAGGGAAGTTGTTGGGGGGGGGGGGATTGGGAGGATAAATTTGTTTTTTTGCGTTTAGCTTTGTGACAAATTTGGGTTGTTGTTCCTTGCATTTCATGTCTGTTCTGTTTGTCTTGGATCTTTATAACCAATTAACCGGAAAAGATTAAGAAACATGGATGCAGTGTGGGACTTGGTGATGCTAGTTATTGTACTTTACTGTTAAAATTTTTGCGGTGCTGCTTATGCTCTAGCTAGTTACTGACAGGGAGGGTGCATCCTTGTTTACTGGTTTTGAGAACTTTTAACTTTTCTTTGCGTGCTGTATGAGCGTCTGGTGAAGTGGAGCTTGATACATTGCCTTGAGTGCAAAGTAAATAATTTGCCATCCATCTTATGAGCAAGAAGAGGAATTTATGTTATTTCTTGCATCAGGATTCAAAATTTGTATAAGATTATGTGTTGAAGTGATGTGATGAAGCCAAGTTAGAGTGCAAAGTGTTCAATTTTTTTCCATGGCACCTCAAATCTTTAGGAATCACCTGGCCATTCTTGCATCAGGAAAGGAACCTTTTATTTGCTACATTTTTGTGCCCACGCAAATTGGTTTGATATATATCAGCATGAGTTCTGTCTTGAAAATTTTATTGGGGTAAGCTGAAGCCAAGTTCACCTTGCTCACTACTCGGTCAATGGGAATTATCATAAGTTGTAGGTGACACCAACATACTTGCATGGACTTTCCTGAAGGCCAAGAAGCTGCCGCTCCTTGTCTTATGGGCACATTGTTGGCATTGTTAAATGAATTAAGAAGTACATACTACTGTTTTATGGCTGCGGTAGACTTTATAAAGGATTTACTGTTAAAAATATATGAGATTACCATCAAAATGTGCAAATATAAAATGCTATAAATCTTATTAGTTCACTATGCAGCATATTTTCTGCTTTGTCCCCATGCCCATTGCTACAAACAGCCCTCACAGTGTTTGTATATTTAGAGTTATTAGCATTAAATTCTGACAATAAGCAGTCCTTGAGACATTAATTAGTGTCTCTGTGTCAATTGGATATGCATGTCAGAACAACATGAATCCATCTCCCTGGGTCAAGTATGTTTGGCTGTACCAAGTTCTCAGATCTCAAATTAGATATGCTGCATATAGTTGTTAAGTTTTCGTGTGGAAGCATCAACACTTGTTTTCAAGCCTTAGAGTTACAATTTTGTGGTTTTAACAAATTTGGGATAATCTTTTCTTTTGTTTATCATCATCGTATTACACTTTCATT